CTTCAATAAGAATAAGGCTCTGGATTTGTCTTCATATCAACTCTCTTTGGATTATTCGTCTTTTAGTTATCGTCTTTTCATTAGAACTATTAATTTTTTTTTCTCTTGCATAGTTCTTTTGGCTTTCAGGTATAGTATATTTTAGTATTTGGCTCCCCTCTGATGGGATTGTGGCTTTGGATCCCCTGTGCTAAAATTATTGCTCACCTGCTATGGGATTGTGGTGGGATTGTGGCTCCCCTTGTTGTGGGATTTTGGTTCATCCTATGTATTTTATCATTGGATTTTTAATATTACATTAGATGGAAAAAGAAAAAAGAAAAAAAGTCTCAGTGGGTTTATTTGTCTTGATCGGTCCATTCCTATTTCATTATATGTTGATGATTTTATAAAATTAAAATCCATAAAGTACACTTAAGTAAATAATTAAACACATCGAGCATTGATAAAATCTCTTTTCTTCATGTATTGTTGAAACCGGATACTCATAGTTTTCTTTAGTCACGGTGCCCTTTTGACGACAAAACAGTTACAACCAAAAATGTATATGGAATTAAAGCCTCCCAGTCATAGTTATACCTAAGAGTATGCAGAGAATGCTTTTGCACAGGGCCCCAAAATGGGTACCACATATTTAGTTTTTTTTTTTTTTTAAGGTTAGAATATGATCGCGTTAATATACGCGTAAATACTATAAAAATTAATGAAATAAATATTTATAATAATCCGTTAAATTATAAAATATTATTTAACGTAGATCTTAAAACCAGTATAAGTTAATTTCTATCATAACTCTCATGTTCTAATACATATCATGCAAATCCAAAAATATATACATCAAATTTAAATAAAATTCTTAATAACAAAGAAAAATATATTTTAACCCATTCTGAATATTTATGATTATGTGATAGAAAATAAAAACAACTAAAAAACTATATAGTTAAATAAAAAATGAGTAAATTTTATGTTAGTAACCTCATAAAAACTATAAATAATGTTGTGAAC